ATATTCACTCATTAATATAAATTAACACTTTTGTTCGAAATGACTATTCATTTTGACACTAAAGTGTTAAAGTTCTATTTTAACAAAAAAAGTTCAGAAAACATCATCGGCCTAAAAACAGATTATATTTCACATAATCCATGCTAAAAATAACACGATAGTGATAAAAAACCAGAAGCACAACGTGTCTATAGTCGTGTAATCAGTGTTGATTCTTAATTAGCCAACAACGAACAATTTATAGGAATATTGGACTTTGACCGTTGTGACCACTTTGAACATTAATAATACTCAATAACAAAGATAAAATTGTTATCAACAGCTTTAATTGATAATTAAAAGTTGATTATTGCACAATTTATTTTTATATGCCATTACTTGTAAAATCGCTAAAAAAGAAACTAACAAATGAGATTTTTATCACGGCTGACACGTTCAACAATTGTCGGTTTGTATAATTTATTAAGTACTTAAATTTTGCCCGTGAAATTACAAATTTTAGAAATTATAGACAATTTTTAGCAATTTGTAAAATGGTTAATTTTAGTCACAAAGCTAAAAACCTTGGGTTACTTAGAAATGTGTTGGTAAACTAATCAAATATTATCCTGGTTTATTTGAAGCGTGTGAACATGACTGATACACGTGAGTCTCCGACTACCCATAACATAATTTATAGTAAGAGTACAGCGCAGATCATAACAATGATATTCTATTACACATTCAGTTATTAAAGAAATAATATCTGTCGATAACAATGAAACTACTGGAAAACAATTATATGACTAACATAACGGAGAACGAGATGGACTGTATTTTTCGCACTGACGATTTTTGTATTTCTGTTTATTAGTAACTATTAGGATGATGTAAAATTAACCTTAATAAAATAGTCGAGGTCAGTCTTTTGCCATTATAACACATGTAATGAATCGATAAATTCATTGCATGTGTATATTTCATATTAATATATTACATAAGCCCATACTGCATAAAAAGAAAAAAATATTGTTTCGGTAAGCAAACAAATTATAGTATAATATNTTATTGCACAATTTATTTTTATATGCCATTACTTGTAAAATCGCTAAAAAAGAAACTAACAAATGAGATTTTTATCACGGCTGTGTCATGTAACGTTATGCCATACTGCATAAAAAGAAAAAAATATTGTTTCGGTAAGCAAACAAATTATAGTATAATAAATATTTAATAGAGATCATAAGCTTTAACTGTATATATATAGCCAACCGGTAGACTGTTTGTGTCACTTTGAAAATAAAATTAATTGTTACTGCATTATTAACAAGTAGCGATTAATCCATTTGATAATATTACGTGTCGGTATTATTCTGATGCAATAAAATTGGTGAACTCAAATAAGATGAAAATAATCATTCACAAAAGAGTATATAAACACTCCTATGCGGTGGTCAGAAGCCGCAAATATACTCGAGTGTAAACGACCGCCAAGAAGGACAATCTCTAAAACAGCATCCGGTCCAATAATTTGTCTGGACAACAAATCCTCATCTGTCAGGTCATCAATTCAATAGAGAATTCAAATACGGTACACAACATCAATAAGTTGCGCAATAGAAAGGCACCTATAGAGAAATTAGAAAGAGAATGATAAACAAATAATATATTACATGAACACGATGTGAGATAAATGTGTACAGTCGCACGTCGGCGAATTAGTCTTTGAAAAATTTTGAGTACATTAATTTTAAACGAAGTGAGAGTACGTTAAAAAAGTGTTTTTATACTTATAAATCAAAACTACGACGATGTTTAGTAGTACTAAAAAATGACTGGCATTATACATAATTATTAAACACTGGTTTTTAACGAAAGTCTGTTATTTTGTAATGTAACTAGTCGTTCTTTTATGCCTCGGAGATAAACAAGAAATTATTTTTAAAAAAATTGCAAGCTCAACCGTTTTTTAATTTTATTTAAAGGTTGCTAATGTTGTAGTCAGACTTCCTGCCGGCAGTATTGTGTTTGTACCGGTGCCGGCCTCGATTTTGCTTTTTCTCCGCCACTGTCCATTACATTTAACAAAAATTAAGATGAACTACAATGAACACGAAAATAGAATATCATCTTGGCACAGCGGGTCGGAACCTTGGCAATGAGGGAACATGCCAAGCATTTCACAAAAAGCCTTGCATCTGTGTATAAAAAAATGTAATCACAAACATAAAAAAAAAGAAACGCGTTTTAAAAACTGGATAAGACTCATTTACTTTACATTGAATATCACAAAATACAATTCTTATTCATTAAAACTTAATTACATTTTTTCAAAAAACGATATTTCATATGTATTTGTAAAAATATATAATCTTGAATCAAGATTCTTGATTCAAGTAAATATTTTAGACGGATTTTAATCGATAAAACTATTATTATGATTGTTTTTAAGGTAACATTTTAACTTATTCGTCATTATAAACAACATATCAAATTGAACGTTGTGGTTTTTTCCCTTTCCAACACGAGAAAAGGATATTGAGGATAAATAAATTTTATTCTCTGGTTAAGTACTGTTTAATAACACNAAACTATTATTATGATTGTTTTTAAGGTAACATTTTAACTTATTCGTCATTATAAACAACATATCAAATCTAATAAAAAAACATTCTAATATACTAATATGAGATTTGTGAAAAACAACACAATTTAATGATTTTAACACGAAATGAAATAGACAGATTCATTGAAAATTTTTTAAAAATATAGTTTTCAATCCGCCTCATTTTCTTTCCACCACCCCTACTTACTCCGGCCATCACCAAGTTCTCTTTGTTCTCCTGTCTGGTGTCTCATTTATGCTGTCACTGTGTTTTGTCCATTATTACACGACAATGATACACGTTTATGTTAATTAGTGTCATACAATATGAACCGTATCCTGTGCATCCACCCTGAGACATTTGACCACCAACGCTGTAGCTTAAATCATAACCGAGGGATTTTCCAATACGATATTGTCTGCGTAAAATATAAAGTGATATTTTCTGGGGTAACCTTAAATTAGTCAACAAGTTTTCGCCAAGTGTCTGACCTGGTCGAAGGCCGTCGGTTACATGATACTGCAATAACCTATATTACAATAACAAATTAATCTCATAGATCTTGCACCGGCAGGTAAACGGTTCACATTTTGTCCGAATTGTTCAGTCGACATTTTAACTGCCAGGTGGCTTAAGCGGCACAATAGCTGTAGTTCACATAAATTAAGATTCAGTAGGGCCTAAAGGTACACAAATCTACCACAGCAAAGTCGATTCACTCGAACAAGGTCCGCATAATATCAACGAAAAAAAAAACAATTCTTTACATTTTCATTAGTAATGCATAAGTGTACTTGCGGTCCTGATATACTTTTTTTTTAATAATTCAGGTAGCTGGTAGCGTTACTCATATAAAGTACAATAATTCTAATAGCAATGATTCATCAATTATACACGTAATTTTTAGTAGCTATTAAATAACAATTTCGAGAAAATTATAAAAATATTATAAAAGGTACTTGTAGCATTTCAAGGTTTGATTTTAATAATATCTCATGTCCATTGGATTTTGAAAAAGATCAACAAAAATTATTACTCCCAGCTAAGTTTATTTATAAACGCTGTTCTGTTAATTTAATGAAAACATTGAGGTATATCAATAAATAAGTAAAATGCATTTAAAACCCTAAAACTACCACAACTCAGTCATTTTTACGAGAAATACAAGATTAACTGAGATCATACATGACGTGCAAATGATAAAAAACCGAAAGTTGGTATAAAAACAGTACACTTCTGTTATGCTAAAGATTTTGATTTTTGATTACGTGTTATGACAAATGATAGTAAAAAAGTCATTTATAATCTTATTCGAATTTTCAATGACATACTTCGGGTAATGGCTATTTCTTAGGAAAATATTTTTTGTTCAAATTGTTAATCATCTTACAAATATAAATACATCTATTTATAATACTAAGATCATTTCATGCTTTTTTATTTGCATGAAACTTAAAAACAATATGTAAAGAAAAATCCTGTTCTGAGATTTTTGGAATAAAACAATAAGATGAAACAAGAATATTTATTTTAATACCGATAAAATATAAAATACAATAAAAATATAACTTAAACTATATCGTAGTAAACAATTAGAGATAACAAGAGAATTTGATATCGTTAAAAAATAATGCAACGCAATTTCACTCTAATAACACACGACGACGATTAAACAACAGATAAAATTCTCGAAGATTCTGCTCGATCAATTAAATAAAAATAATAACTACACTTGATTACATGTAATTAATAATGCAAAAAATTTAAAAAAAAAACATGACAATACTTCATCTCACGCATTACATATGTTGTACTAGAGATAGGAATTTTGTTTTGACTTTTAGCTTAATTTCAAATGCAATCGGGTTTGTGAAAAGTTTAAACCACAGTCTGTAATATTTTATTAAGCGTTCATTTGTGAGTAGTTAATTTTGTTTTCGGTACTCGTTTTATTTGAACAAAACTACTCCCAGGAATAATTTATTATAATAGTTGCTAATTTGAGAAATTTCCAAGTTCAGACGTAATGTGTGATCAAACAAATAGAATTACATGTAACCGGAATTTTACTTCCTGATACGTCACCATATAATAAAAAAACAAATTTCCCTTTTAACTAATATCATCAATATTCCTCAACACCGCAGGCGACCGGTTTATGAAGCGACTCAGTACTGATATAGTTTGTAATAAGGTTTTAATCGACTGTTTGATAGAAAGCTTTTACAGTCGGAGATAGTCGATTGGGATAAAAACAGGGCAAGAGAAAATTAGTAAATGGACGGGATTAAAAAAAAGAATCGTCAATGACTATCCTAATTCCATAGAGCACACGCGGTCAGCTGACCTGACGACGGTTTGGGAGCGGTGAACGTGGGAATTTTATACAATAAGATATTAATGACGTCTACTCACTAGGATCGGATGGTAACAGTTTCATTTTGTCGAGGTCCGTTGCCTCGCGATCGTTGTACACGATCACGGCGGAGGCGCCAGCCCGGCGGGCGTTGTCTACTTTGGTCTGAAAGCTGCATTTGCCCCGTCGTACCAGCGCTATCCAAGGGCCACCGGGCAGGAACTCGGGGATGGTGCGCACCGGTGGAGCGCATCCGTTGCGGTCGCCGTCGGTGCCTAACATCTGCACAAGACGGCCTGTAGCGGCGCCCACGTGATACTCGCCGAATTTGCCTATTTCCGACTTGTCCGACTGTATGACCATGCCGGTGTCCACATCGTAGTAGGTCACGTTCAAATAAGCAGTTGTATACGAGTCGTTGGACTCGTCCGCAGACGACACGGCCGCTGGCCAAGGATCCGAAGACGATGTCGACGAGGCGGCTACAGTGAATAACGTGCACGCGGCTAACATGGCGAGCATGGTGATAGCCGCCGATAAGCGAAGGTCTCTTTGGCGCCTTTTTCGAAGTCACACGCAAAACGAACTTGGTACAACTAAACGGAAAAAATGATCCAGCGGTAGGGTTCAATTAACTACTGTCAATAATTCACATGACGTTCTAAATTTTTCCGAATTTCGCGTGTAAAATATTACATGTGTAAAAATATTTATTATATATATATATATTTATATATTTGAACTTTTATCAAGAAATATATCTACACATGGATAAAAAATTATTAATAGTTAATGAATCTTCAAAATACAATTATACTATACTCGATCTATCGTCAGTTTTGGACATTCCACTAGGGCTGCCACTACAAATGTTATTTCAAGACAAAACGACAGTATAATATGTTTCTACTCGACAAAATAATTCAATGATAACGTGTAGTTACGCGCACACTATCACGCACAAGTTCAACGAATACACGTCACGTGCAGCGCGTGTCTCGCACACTACTGACAGAAGAACGTTCGGCGACGGCAACCCAACACTACATTGGCACGGACTTCCCGACGCCTTGGAGACCTCGTTATCACGATAGCAGCGGCGGCTTGCGGCAGTGTACTTGTTACAATAACAATAATACGTCCGAATAATAATAAAAAAAAAGTCGCCGCATGTGAATGTGTATTAATAACAAGGGCGTGCGCGTGTGTGTTAAGTCAGTGCGACCAAAATCGTAAGCGTAAAATTACAGTATGTACCTAGGTTTGAGGCTCTAAGGTCAAGTATGTTATGAATCACTCAGTATACTTATAGAGTTGAAATGGTAAATGTTGACGCATTGTACCGAACAAAGTATTGTAAGAGTTTCTTAATCATTAACAACAACAAAATTTACAATTGTACAATTTAAAGCCTGTGCCCGAAAATTAAACTTAATTTCTCAACTTGACTTGTGGTTGAAATTGACCTAAAACTCTTACAGTGAAGTCCAAGGGATTTATTATTTTTTAGCAATGTACTTAATGAAAGTAATTTATATTTATTACATTTAAATATCTGTAATGACGAAATTATGAAAACTTGTACATAAATCGTCGTCTGAGGATAAAAAGATTCCAACGCAAAAATGATGAAGTTATATGAAATTTAAAATTTTTTATTTTGCTATATGAGTTTAAAAACTTCATTTAGTGCTTAAAATAATGCGTAATTCAATAAAAAAATTACGTATGAATTTTTTTATTATAAGGTTACGAATTATAATTAAAAATTTACAAATTTTTGTTTCGTTAAACTTATTACTTGTTAAAAGTTCAATATAACTAAAAAAACCTTTTTATATGTTTACATTATAACTAAACTACAGATCACATAATACAGCAACGAAATTGCAAAAATGGAAACGCTTAAAAGCCATACCACTTCTTCATTTGCGTCAATGTCTCCCAAAGAAAGTATGAAAAAATAATTTGTAAGGCATAGCGTATAATTACCAAGTTCCAACCTTATTACTGAGTTATTTTATGATATTTTTTTAATGGTTGTTCCTAAACCTAGGAAAATAATAAAAACGATTTTTGACTGGATCAATTTAAAACTTTAAGTTCTAGGCAAACTCTATAGGCATTTAATTGTGAAGAGTCATTTATCATATTGGAATGATTTATAGTTAAAAAAAAAAAAATTGAATTATTTCTAGAAAAACTAAAATTAAACATTTACAATGTTTTTTTCTATTTTTTGATGAGGACTCCCAATACTTGAGTTTTGGAAAAATATCTACTGTTTAAATTTTTAATAACAAATTTTCATTTTTATTATTTTATTGCACTTATCTTTCATTTTTTGACATGTTCTAATATATTCTTCTTAATTGTTTTTCGATAATTATTTAACGTTGTGTTTAGCTATGGGACATAATGAAATAGACATCATACCACCAAAAGTGTATTCTACAAAAACTAAAGCTTTTTATTCTGCTTTTTTATCCTTACACTTTTATAAATATTAGAATTTTCACATACATGTACTGGAATCATTGAAGGCTTACAATGTGAAGGAAAATTAGGATAAGCAGAGATAAAAATTTTATATTTGTATACGAATTTTCGATACTTAATTTTAAAATTACATTCCTTGTGCATAAAATATCGTGTATATAAAAAATATTATTCTTACGTAAGGGAAATAACTTTGATTATTTCTTACAGAGATTGTATAGAGTGTTTTTCTTCAAATTAACCTTTAAATTATGAACATGGTGGAACACTCTGTATAAGAATTAAATATGAAATTCACAATTGCATAGTTCAATTGAATTTATATTTAATTAAAATTATTTTAAAAATAACAAAGGAAAAATAAATTATAAATCAAATGATAACTTGTAAAAAGCACAAATAATCTATTTATATAAAATTATTTACTTTTATAAAAATTAGAGAGACATTGATATATATATTAAAGGACTGAATGATAAAATTATATTATTAAGTAACATTACGACTTAATTTTAATCTATTTTATATTTTGTATTTTAATAGATTTCCTATACATATTTTTTAAAAATGATTTTCTTTTCTATTATAACGTGTCTATTTTTTAATTATTCAACAGTAAGTACATCTGTAAAAGAACGCCATTGCAATTTTTCGAGATACATATTGAATTATTTCATACACTGTGAACGATATTTGTTACGCCTCAATAAAACTGTAGAAAATATCTCTGAAGAAGACTTAAAAAAATATGGAGAAGCAATTCAGTCTCACAGTAATATCATACTATTGATGCTTGCAGAATTACATTGTTTGGAATGTGATTATTTACCTAGAGATTTGATGGCAGTAAACTTGTATTTAAATAATGTATCAGGATCAGTCAATATAATTAGTAAAAACATATCTAATAATAATACAAAAGAAAATAAGATAGTGCTATTACTGGAAGGGTATCAGAGGATTCATGAAAATATTTCCCAACAGTTATTAAAATATATTAATTATCAATGTACTGATGAGGTGGAGTTACTATTTGTGAACTATCCAAAAATTATAGATGAACATTGCAATCTAAATATTGAGCAATTAGTTTTGGTAACAAAGGATCTCAAAAATAAAATTATGAAAGAAATAAATATTAACTTATGTACACGTAACTCAAAAAAATTATATAATCCAAAAAATGTGATACTTTATGATCTGTTCTCCCATCAACCGATTGTAAATGAAAAGAATTTTATGAATGGTTCTCAAAAGAGACAAATTAAAGCAAACATAACAGACGATTACTTAGATCTTCTTCGCTATACTCCCTTACATTTAAAATGCGCTGATGGTAGTAATTTAACTTTATTAGATGCATTTCGATTTATAAAATTCCATTTTTACCATCATCATGTACAATCATTTCAAAAACTAGTTAGATACTCTATAATCTATCCTAATTGCGCATTATTAGTCCAATATCTTAACTTTATTACAAGTCTTAAAACATCTACTATAAATTCAATCTTTTACTATGAAAACATTCGTCCATGTATTACATTATTATCCTACACGGTAATAGAATGTCTAAACAAATTAAAAGATCTAAATATTTTAAACGAGGCTTCTGATCATATAGTTACTGACAGTACAACAAAAGTAAAAGAACTTTTGCATAATTTTAATAATTGGCCAATTAGAGATAATAATATAATAAGTAATATTTTTAAATCATTAAAAAATGTGTTGTTTGACAAAGGCATAAAGTATGAAATGGAATTCACTATCATTACTACACAAGATAATTTCGATGATAACTACAATAACATTCTTAAATTCAGTATGCAAGTCAAAAAATACATTAAGCAACTAGCAAAATATAAATATTTGCTTAATTCACAATTTAGTTTGCATAAAAAAATGAAAAGAGGCAATTCACGACAAAGAAATTTTTTAACTAATGAAGTTATTGGTGAGTTGTTTTTATATTATATTTTTTAAATAGTTCATAATTATTATGATTTAATAATTATAATAATAATAATAATAATAAAAAATAACTTTTAATTAAGACCTCAATAGTTTAAATTTAGTTTAGTTTCATAAATTATTTTCAAAGTCCCCGGGACACATTTATTTTAAAATGTATAGTACATAACATAAGCTTTCATTTGACATATGTTTAAAGAACTCAGTATTTCTTGAACATTTTCAAAATTTAAGCTGAAAAAATTGACTTTTGTGAAAAATTTGCTATTTTGAATCCTCTTCTGTGGGTAATTAAATGTTCGTATTTAAAAAAAATTATAGAAAATGAAAGGAAAATACTAAAGGTTTTATAAACAAAAATATTAGTTTAATTTTTTAATATTTCAAAAAGTTATGGCAGTTTTAAGTACAAAAAACATCACAATAGAAGGTGAATTTTTCGAAAATATTACTTTTATTGTAATTTTGGCGGCAATTTGCACATTGAAAATTTGAGGAAATCGTCCGATTTAAAAAAGTATGTAAGATGAAAGAAATATATATTTCGAATATATATTCCGAAACTATTTTGAATTCCCTCTTGTAGGCAATTAAGGTCAGATTTTTCAAAATATTATGGAATTATTTAAGGTTTCCATATAAAAAATTATTATTTTGATTCGTTCATTTTTCAATAAAAAATTTCGAAATTTACCGATTTTAAAAATTAAAATTTTCGGGGAGGTTTTCATAATTTACAAAATTTTCATTGTCTTAAATTAGATACGTTTTGTGATCTTTTGATGTATTGTTGAAAGAAATCAATGAGAGATGAGAAAAAGTAGTGAGAGACACTAAAAACTTGTATTGACTCTAATAAGATGAAAAAAATTCGAAAATTTACGATTAAAGAAATAAATAAACATATCACGGTAAAATTAATATTTTCTCAGCTTTTCACTGAAGCTAAAATAATTTTAATATTTATTATTTTAAGCTTATATTTAAGTTAATTTAAAAAAATTCTACTTTCTATACGTTTGTTTAAAATGTTGAATCCCCTTTTATAAAGAGATATGTCCCGATTAAAAAAAAGTATGACAAAGATTAGAATACTTTGAAATTTTAAAATATAACTACTAAATATTATATTTTAAAGAATAATTTGAAAGTAGAGTTATTTTGTTGAAATTTTAGAGGTTATTTTTTAGGATTACCTAAATTAAATATTAAATTCTTTAATATTTAATATTTTAAATAAAAATATGTTTAAATTATAATTTAACCATATTATTACATTTATTTGGTATTAACTTATATTTAAACTTGGATAATATTTAATTTTTCTGTGAAAAAACAATATTACATATTAATATGACGCGAACTTCTCTCTGTTATGCCTTTGGCAGAGAACTCATCCGAGCTCCAAGCCGCAGGACTGCTGAAGTCCACAGCCTGTTACCCGTTTGGGTAAACTTAAAATTTTACAATTTTAGATATTATTTTAAAAGATTACTTTAAATAAATATTAAATTCTTTAATACTTAATACTTGGATAATATTTAATTTTACTGTAAAAAACAATATTACATATTAGGATATAAAAAAATTTCTTATACGAATTTGACGAAAATACTCTATTGATAAAATAAAAAGAATTATTTTCGTTTTCACTTATCACTTATGATAATATAGGTTTCATTAAAAACTCATTTTATATTTTTTATGTAGAAAATTTATGCAAAGATGATTTATACAAAATTTCGAATAGAGTATATGATTTGGACGAAATTGAAGAAGACTGGGTAAATGATAAGAAGTTTGCAGAACTTGGATTTGTTAAAATCGAAACATCTTTAACTAGTATTCACAACGAAGCAATTATTGATAATATTTCGAACAAATTATATAATGAAACAATGAATTCGTCAAACTATATTCTATATTACATGGTTGATTATTTAATGTATAGATAATTCATATTAATACAAACAATTGATAAAACATAAAATAAGTTGAAAATCTAATATTCATTAAGAATAAAATAATGTGTAATATTAAACTCAACAAATAATTATAATTTTGAGAACTGTACTTTTGATTTTATTTAATTAAAGTTTTTCTCAATTTGTAATTGAAGAAGAATATTTGATGTTCAAAAATATCTTCTTTATAATATTTCCTATATATTATAAGATTATCAAGTTTAATTTTTCAAAAGATGAGATATATATATTTATCTAAAGTGGAAAATGATTGAACTTTCATGAAATGTTTCGAAAATTGTACATTTGACTTAAAATTATATTAAATAATCAAGAATATTGATCGGTATTTTATTTGGTGTGACTCTAATGGTAAAATATAATATCTATGAGTTAAGTAGTTCAGTATTTGATATCTATTTTATTGAATCAGCTGTAAACTGTACACCTCTATACATGTTATTTATAATTTCTGAAATAATTGGTTCATATTGGCTTGTTTTTTTCATTTTCTCTTCTGATTCCGTTGGAATGTGAAAACGTGTATTCTTTTATGTATCCAGATTATGTTTTATTAGCCTTTTTATACTTTTTATACTCTTTTTATATTATATTTTGTTTTTACTAATAATATTTTAGATAAATTCCCTATCGATGTTCTTAAAATTAACTCTGAACTTGTCAAAATATAATTTTTTTCTAATTAGTCATTATTTCAAAAAAAGTGGTGATAGAAAAAATCTAATTTTGCGGTGTAATTCAGTATAAAATCAGTGTAAAATTTTATACTCTCATTCATTTTGGGATTTTTAATTCAAAAAAGTTTTTTTGAAGTAGCAATTTTTTAATTTTGAGATATTTGTTTTAAATTTCTAAAACTTAAGGCATTTTTCCAATATTTAGGAATTATAAGTACAACAAGATTAAAATAGTGTTCTTTTAATGTATTTGTCATTAAAATTGGTCAATTGAGATCTGAGAAAAATTAACGACAGACACAAAAATAAACTATATAGTAATATATTTTATTATAAATAAGAATGTCTTTCTCACAGGGCTAGACTTAAATGATAGGATCCTTGATATACATTGAATAATTTAATTGAATATTATTTATTATTATTCGTTTTGAATTTTTTTTCTACCTCAAAAAAAAAATTAAGAAAAAAATATGCAATGAAGTTAATTTGACTAGGGACATTCGAATTTCGTACTCCGAGCGTATAAAACTGTGAAATATGCGTCGCAGCCACCGTACACTACATGGTCACTAGGGTGGCCCTCAAAAATCGAATGTTTTTTTTTACGCTACCTCTTAATTTTTTTTTATGGTCAAAAAAATGAGCTGTGCAAAATTTGGGACCGATTCGTTTAGGTTAACTCGTGCCCCCAGCCCTATTAAGTTGAGTCGAAGAGTTAAATTTAATAGAAATAACTGATCTATGTCTCATAATTTTTTTTTTGCTAACTTAGAATTATAAAAGTAAAACTCAAGTAAAGGAAATTTTACAAGAAATTTAAAAATAATAACTTCAATGTTGATTTCTTAATAAATAGCCCACTAAAACACTTCATATAGTAAAAATATGTAAAAGTCTCAAAAATACGTTATAACTGATTTTGTTGATTTTTACTTATTTATTTTCATTTTATTCTTTAGAAAACGCATATTCGTTTAAAAAAAGATTTTAAAAGTTAAATTTTTTATGCCAAATACGATAATTATATTAGATTTATTATTTTATGGACAGTTAATTAATAATTAATTACAAACCTAACTAAATTTATTGTATTATTACATTTTTTGATTAAGGAAATTATTTTATTTTTGATTATAATTTATGCTTTTTGATTAATACTTTTTGACCACTAAATTATATCTAATTGAGACCTCTCTGCAAATGTATAATATGAATGTTAACCATATTTTAAGAAAACAAATCTGATTTTATTATAACATAATTTTTTTTTTATAAAATATTTTAATTGTGATTAACAATTTTAAAATTATTTTGTTTAAAATAATAATAACTTTAAAACAAAATATTTTAACAATAATTAAATTATATTATTACAATATATTTTTTGATAATGTACTTTTTTAAAATTAAGAAATTTTTTCCGATAATCACTTATTATTTGTTAATCGTATGATTTCTGCTTTTTATTTGTAGTTAATATATTAATGTAGTCTTCGATTAATTTAATGACACGCTAGGCTGTATCATTAACGACTCGTAATTTACATATAGTATTTAAAGTATTTATGTAACTATTGTTCGCATTCCAAAATGAAGGATCAATTTTCAAAAATCAGTGTTCAAATTAAATTTGTAAAACACTTGTAAATTTGATCGTAACTTACTACCAGTTATTTCGTAGAAATAATTACCAATAAGATAAATATTAGTTCGTAATACTTTAAAAGACGTCTAAAAGTATTGTACCTTTGTGATTTAAACGTATCATTTAATATACAACAATAAACAGGTAAAATATGATTAAAAGTGTTCACAAATTGTCTGCTGCATTTATACAACACAAATTATGTCAGTTGTCGAAAATAACTCAAATATAATTATCTTTAATAATAATATAATTGGTACTATCTTAAAGTAATTTAGTGAACTAAAATTGATACATTGATAAGACAAAATGTAATAATACAATAAATTTTGTTAGGTTTGTAAATAATTATTAATTAACAGTCCATAAAATAATAAATCTAATATAATTATCGTATTTGGCATAAAAAATTTAACTTTTAGAATCTTTTTTTAAACAAATATGCATTTTCTAAAGAATAAAATGAAAATAAATAAGTAAAAATCAACAAAATCAGTTATAACGTATTTTTGAGACTTTTACATGTTTTTCACTCAATGTAGTGTTTTTCTGGTCTATTTATTAAAAATCAACATTGAAGATATTATTTTTGAGTTTCTTGTAAAATTTCCTTTATTTGAATTTTACTTTTATAATTCTAAGTTAACATAAAAAACCCAGTACAGGGGGGGCG